TTCTTAGAAAAACAACAAAATTTGATTTTTCGATTTTTTATTGTGATAAACAATGTGTACAAATTCCAAGGGAACCGGAGTACTCGATTTAATCAACAAAATAAACTGCTTTATTTTTTAATTTTTTTTAATCATACTGTATAAGTTCTTAACAATTCTGAAAACTATGAGTGCACCTATGATACAAGAAGAATGAATGCACCCATAAAAAATTATACTATTTTGCATATTTCAAAGAGGATTTATTCGGCAAAATTTTGAGGTGACATAAACTACTATGAATATAAAATTTGACAATAATCAATCCGGTAGTTTCCAAGATTATTATTTTATTCGACAAAAATCGACACAGATGGCGGACAGATTGACAGTCGGAAACGGGAGATCTATTTTTCGTATTCTAGGGCCATTCAAGAAAATTGGAACAACGTTGGAACGTTAGTATATGTTTATAAAACCTACGACGAAGCCAGTCAGAGTATGTAAAAATATATAGGATATTCCATTAAAAAAATGAATTGTAGGCATATTACCCCTCAAAAACAATACACTTTGTATAGTTGTAAGTTGCTATTTTTTGATTATTTGTATCAAATACATAGTATACATTTTTAATACTGTTTTTCACTATAAACCTAGTTTCGTTATTTGTCTTTAAGATTTTCAAAACATGTTAAAAAAGTAATATACAATAAAGTCGTTATTAGCTGTCCACGCAAGCACGACATACTACCACTCTATCCTTTCTTATGGAAATGCAGATAGAATTTTTTGCGGATTTTAGAGTAGCAATACCCTCAAGAATGAAACAAATAACAATAATAGGTGCATCGTAAAATTTCATGGTTCTCGGACATTGCGGAGTGAGGCGTGCGTGCTTTGAGTTGCAAACATCAAGGCCGGCAGTTTACGTTGACGATTATTGTTTTGAAAATTTGCCTTAAGGGTGGCGTCTGGTTCGGTTTCGCCCAATACTAAATACATTGAAAACATCGTCGTAGTTTCCGGAACTGCATTTTTAAAATACTGAAATCTCCAACCAAGTCAGAATCTAAGTAAACCTATATTCTGCTACCGCATCACAGCTCGTTTAATGCCGATTTCTCGTTTCAATAGATTTTGACTTTTCGCGAGTTAGTTACCTCAGTCGTGGATTTTTTAATATTATAAATGGTATCAAAAAAAAGCTGACACTTTTCCCCAGGGGACCTCCTATCTCAGAATGCAAAAAACTTCAGCACTTCGTCAAAAAATGCATCAATGTGCCGGTTAAAATGTGATGTAAAAGTTGTTCAACTTTATAATTTTTTTTTGTAAAAACTGCATACTAGATATGAAAATAAATATGGAAGTCCCCTGGACTGAAGTTTGTTAATTCGAAATATAATTTTTTTAAAGCGATATATCTCATATTTTTAAAATGCAACTCCGGAAACCGCGACGATGTTTTCAATGTATTTAGTATGGGGCTAAACCGAACCAGACGCAAGCCTTAAAGCTTACCACCCACCCTTGAAATAAACTTGCAAGTGTGGGGAAAGCGCCTACAATACCCCCAATTAACTAAAGAAATGAAGAATTACTTATCTGAAGCTCGCCTGCGGTATTTAATAATAATAATAATAATAAATATGGTAACTAATGTGCTGGCGGTCAAATAATTCACTCAATTAGGTCTGAATCATGCGTATCAACTTTTCAGAGTTTTCTAAGCACGGGGGATACATTAATGACTTTTTTTCAGTTCTTCAGTTTCATTTCTCAAAGAAATTAACACGTGACTCTATTTTTAAGTATATTATTCGATTCCATTGTTGCATCATTCACAGAATATTTGTTATTGTTGACATAACGAAAAATTTTACAACGTATTTTATTTTGATGAATAAATAAAATTTATTTGTCACTTATTTCTTTCAAATTTTCTCTACGCATTAGCAAACTGGTATTATTAGCATAGACTATAATATAAACATGTTGTTGTTAACATTGTCTGTGCGGTCATTGATATGTACGAGAAACAACAGCGGCTCAAGTATATTCCTTGTAGAGCAACCGAGATTAGGTTCTTTTACTTACTGAGCGAAAGCCAGGGGTTTCATGATTTTCGACGTTCCATAACCGCCAGAGTATGAAAACGTAGGTCTCTCGTTGTCGTTTGTATGTCGTCTTGCCTGTCGTTTATTTCGGCAATTTTATTAGATAAATACTCTCCAAAACTACTCAACTTCTTTCCTTTTATTGTAATTTTTCATTGGCATTTCTAGGTCCAAGATTACTTTTCTGTCAATTTTAGCTGCAGATGTGTACGAGTTTAAAAAAAATCGATCTAATATTATCCAGAGAGAACTTCCTTGAGTTCCTTGGTCCTTGAAGTACAGTACAAGATATTCATATTTTACAAAAATGATAAAATTTGATTTTGGGAATTTTATTTTTTATGATAACCCGCTATAAGTGAAAATAAAGATATGTTATGCGTATGTTTCAAGTGAGTCTTTCCATTAAAAAATTTTAGGAAAGACATGTATATCAATTTGAACAAATGCAGTGTAATACTAATATAACACTACTGTATTTCCAGTTTTCTGGAAAATAGGGTAAACGTTCTTTATTTGATCAATAAAATAAATTGCAAACATTTATTTGTTTTTTTTTTCAACAATATGTCTAGGGTGAAATCATGATGGATTCATAAACCACAAGTACAGGAGTATGTTATTACAGAAAACTTAAATTAAATTTATTATGCGAAATTTTGAGGTGACGACATTGCATTGTTGTGGGGACGAGTAGACAAATTTTGATCAGCTTTTTACCATTTACACTATATTATAATAATTTAGACAAATAGTTTTATTGCTCTTACAGAACTGACCAAGAAATCAATGACAAACTTTCCACTATAATATGTAGAATTCATTCTCCAAACCGTAACCCATGCGCGTTTGGAACTAAAGTTGATTGCAACGTAGTCTCAGACTAAGAAATGACAATGATGAATTATAACAAAAGAAAGGTTCGGTTTCGTTTGGAAAAATAGTTCAGTTCACGAATCTCGTGTAGATGGTACTATACTCGTTTCATTTAGGATATAGCACATAAAATTTTATGATAATACTGAGCCCCTGATGATGAGGTGGAGATGCAGTAAATCTTATCGTTGGCAGATGCAGTTACAGTATCTTTTGAATCTGCTTGGTTCTTAATCCAGGATCAGCCTCTTGTAAAGTGGGGTCTATATAATTTTATGAGGTATATCCTAAACGAATAGATTATAAATGCTAATCTAAAGTGTCTCATCATCTCAATCAATTTCATGAGTTCTCAAAATTTTGCAAAGTAAATATTCCCATATTTGTAGTTTATCTGCCATTACTTTTTTACATTAGAGCCTTGGATATCATATATTTTTGGAAAAAATCGTTATTGCAAAGCCATTATTTTAAAATTTAACTTAGAAAGTGACGAATCCAATGCTCCGAATTCATGTAAATGTTCGGTTAACGTAAACATGTTAAATTGCCAATAAAAATTGATTTGTTTATTTCCTCCAAAAACTTGATCTAAAAATTTTGCTGAGTACATCTGTCCAAAATGTGCAAAATATTTTGAGTCTATAGTTGTGGTTTATCAATCTATTCATATTTTTTATAGCACTACTTATAATTATAGCCTGATTCAAAAAAATCAAATCAACAACGGTTGACCCCATTTTTCCGAAATTTTGGAGAACAGTAGTGTTGTAACCGTAAAAAAATAAAATTTTATTATTTGTTAAGTAGAATCATTGATTAAATACATAAATACATATATATTTAATCAATGTAAGGTTTATTTGGCTATTTAGATACTGAGCGTAATCTAAGAATTCATATTTTTTGAAATTGCTAATATACGCTGACCCAAGAAAAAATGAATGAGTCAGTTTATTTTATTGATTAAATCCGGAACGGCTCATTCCATTTTCTCGAAACTTTGGGGATACAATACTGTTATTATCAGTATTATACTGCACCCATCCAAATTAATGTAGATATCCTTGAAAAATTTTATAAAGGAAAAACTCATTTGAAGCATACGCACAGCGCGCTTCTTTACATTTATTTTAACATTGCATATACATCTTTATTATAACTTGTAGGGGTTCTCATAAAAAAAACTAAAATTCGAAAAACCAAATTTCATAATTTTTCGAAAAAGCTGGATGTTTTGTTGTACACTAAATTAGTTAATATCTAGTCATAGTCATAGAATATTAAGCCCTTCGTTTAGTAAATTTCTCTCAATTAACTACGATTAAGTAATATTTTCAAGACAACTATAAAATATCTGTGCTACAAAATTAGAAGGAAAATTTAGAAGCACCAATTATTTATTATCAAATACTACAAAGCAATTTAAATTCATTAAAATGGTAATCCAGTCTAGAAAAAATATAATAATATTTTTATATAACTTTCCTATTTTATCATCCCGCTCCTGCATATACATCCCTTAATTATTCTCACCTGTGCCTGTTCCCAAGAACTGGGTCACTCACCCCCATCTCCAAAATTTTCGCTAGTCCAATCAATACCCAAACACGTAATACTGCAGGTTTCTCCGCCGCTCATTCGAGAAAGAGTGCGACTACTTAACACTAGAGGTCACGCATCAAGTTTATCTTATTTAAACAATTTAATTAATTCAAAAACATATCTGAAACAATCCTTTCGTTTGCTATTTTGATTGATAAATGACTCATAGTTTATCTCTAAAAATACAAAACTAGATAACAATGCTAAGACGCTACGACAACAACTAGCCAAAACTATCTATAAGCGGTTTCACTTTTAGAAAAAAAATCACCTGTGACGTCAAAAACGCAATTATCGATGCAAGCAATTAGCGAAAAAAATGCGTGAAGTTTGGGAAGAATTTGATATCGAGGCGCAAGCGTCCACATATGCGCCGTAGGCGGCGAAGGCCTCCGATAGAGATTTTCTTCGGGCGCACACCAGTGTGTTGTGGACCGCGGTGCAGTGAGGAATTCGAACGCGTTGCAGTTGCTCTCGACCATGTGTTTATGTTTTTATTGACATCTTACGTAACAGTGACATCCTCGCATCCCTAATCACCGGAACGGCTCTGCGAGCCAGTGATTCCCCCCCGCAAGTGTTATTATTAATTTGTGCCTGCCCGTTTTTGCGTTGATTAAACAATTTTTTTTTGTGTTTGTCGTGCGTTCTTGTGATTTTGTTTTATCCGTATTTTAGTTTTGGATTTTACCCCGTCGCATGGACTCCTCCTCCTAAGGTACGTTATTGAATTTCCATTCGGATATCTGCGATGTTTTCCACTTTCCCAGCTGCGCTGCCGCCGAAATGAAAGTGAAATGAACAGATGTTTGGGGATGTAAATTTTGTTTGTTTGCCGGCGCAGCGTGAAGTTTAATTAATTACTTTTACGGGTTTAATCGCGATTTCATTGTGCAGTTTTGCGGAAAAAATTAACCTTTGAGTTGTAAATCGCTTTGATTGGGTGCGAGCATAGGACGAGTTTACCTGTGTCGTAAGAAAACCCACGTGAAGAACTCGACTCAAAGCCAGTTTTAAATTCTGGAATTTCTTAACATTTTCATTTGATTTGGTGTGTCAGAAGTTGGGGCGTCGGAGAGTCTTGTGAAGGAGCCGTAAAAATAAATATTTGTAACGCTGTGATGAAAATATTTTGATGATCTAACACGATATGCATGATTTAATATTATTAACGATGAAGACGTCATTTTCGATAAACAACTCATTTCATTGTTTATTTTGCATTATGATGTGCTTCAGATGAAAACTGTTTGTTTATGCAGACTTCTTTGATTGTTTTGTAGGTGCCAAAACTTCCACGTTTTGTTTATGGTTAAATCAAATATCAACCTCCGTGAGAAAAATGTGGTTCTATCTTTGTGGGATCCCCAATATTTATACACATAATTATTTTTGCGATAAAAAGAAGCGATAACGGTAGAATTTTGTTTGCAAATGTTGTTTTATCGCGACCTAAAATTACGCGCGGAAGTTTCGCTGCAATTTGCACAACAGTATAATTTTACAGTTGGTATGTTGCAGAAATTTTGAGCATTTCTGGTCTGTATATTTATATTTAAATTAGGTTTGGAGGGGCCCTCGATTTCGAATTTCTGGCCAATAATACGTAGGTGCATATGCTGATTATCATATGCAGTATGCTAATACGAATTTTGCTTACTCTGTTATTATGGTAAAGAAAGCAGGCTGTGTTTTTATAACGTAGCTAAATACCTTTCATAAAATTTTGCAGACACCTGCTAATTGCTTATGTGTGGATTTTGGGGCGAATAAACATTGATGTGGGTATTTGGTATTTTGCAAAAAGAATTGGCCAACAATAATTAATGAAATGTAGTTGCCACTGCTCAAAAAAAGATTTGAAAAGTTTATGATTATAAATAATTGTGAGTTGTCTGGTGATAGTTATTAATAATACGTTTAATTTTTGTTATGCTGGTTTACACCTACTTGTTTTGTATCATAGCTAATGGGTAAAATACGGTACTTAAGCTGATATGCTTGTGTTTCTAGAAAAACACTTTTTCCAATGTAGAGCAAGCCAGTGGAGGAATTTTCTCATAAGTTGTTAATGCTGTCGAAGGTTCAAAGAATAGGGGTAGTAAAAAATTGCGAGGTGATAATAAAATACGATGTCAGTTTTTTCTACAGGATCAGTGTAGGTAATCTTGGTAAATATATGATTTACGGTAATAGCTTTTGGATGGATGGATATTTGAGGGCAACTAAAAATGGTGAGCTCGGGTGGGTCTATATATTTACAGTGACAAAGACTTCAATAAGCAAAAAATATGTAGAAGCAACCGTAATCTAGATGTCTCATGATGACGTTTCATTCGTTACTTTTAAATTGTACCAAATTTTGTAGCTTCGATCTCTTGCTCTAATTTAAATATTTGGCATTCTTATCGAGGTACACAATGTGTATAAAAAATCTGTGAAGTGCGTGACTTTAAGAAAATCATTAAATTATTTATCTGTTCTGTGTTATTGAAAGTATTTATTTATATATTTATTTTTTTATCAAAGTTATCACTTTAGTTTTTCCGCTATAAAAATAAATCTTTGGTTTTTCCATCCTTGTAAATTTAAAGCAAGTAAATTTTAAGGCAAATTTTCGGAACAATAATCGTCAACGTAAATTTCCGGCCTTGATGTTTGCGCGTATGGTCTACTCCGCGGTGTCTGCACCCCGTTTATGTGTATGCTGTTACCATCAGTATCGAGATACATAACGTGTTTATAAATTTTTGTAGGTCGAGTGGGTTATAGAAAATGGTTTTGTTAAAATCTGAATTGCTGATTGTCTACTTCGTAGACACATTCATTAAAATGAAAAGTGTTTTTCAAAAAGAATAGCACCGGTTCTTACAACTAAAGTAATTTCGTTTAGGCTAAGAATTTTATGCAGCAGATATAACAATAATAATCTTAATTAGTAAATGTTACAGTTTATATTTCATGAGTAGCTAAAAAAACCTTCAACTGCCTTCACGAAAAGTATGTTAATAGCAAAATGGTAAAATAATTTTTTTTTAAATAAATTTCGTTTTTATATTTAAATTTAATGCGATATTTGTGAATTTTGGCGTTGTGTTTGTATTGTTGTTTTGTTTTGTGCATACGAGCATACGAACAGTGAACTTATTTATGCACCATAAATTTACATTTACGATCGGCTTTCCTTAAAGTAGGTTGTACAATTAAGTTGGTGATGTATTTTTAAAACGTATAACACAAGCACAAGATAAGGTATCATGTTTTAAAATATAGCTTGGAGTTACGTACAAATATTAAACAGGAGTTCTATTAATATTTGCAACCTTCAGCTATTTAGTTAAAAAATTAAAATTTTGCATTAAACTTAAAATACATGTTTTCAAAATTTAACTAAATTAAATATTTTTTTCAAAATCTTCTCATCTTCAATGACTTACAATATTAACATTTGAAAATGGCCTCCATTTTGCAGCAGACGATGTCTAATTCGTACGTTTTTATTTTAAAAAATATTTGGAATCACTTCTTGATTCAGGTTAACGTTCGTAATTTGCGTTATTAATCCATTCAACTTGTCCTTTCCACGCTTAAAAACTGAATTCTTCCGGTAGCTAAATATTGAGATAATTTAATGTTGCGTGTGTAGTATGGGCTGTAGTTCCATCCTGTTGAAAATAGCCACCAGTTAGTTTGTCATTGTGTAGTTGCAGTACAAATACGTCTATAATTATGTTCCCTCTAAGTTGATCTAAATCTAATTTAACTTCGATTTTGATTGAATCCATACATACAGTAATGGTAAATTGACTTGAATAGAGTTAAATTAATAACGATAAATAATTTTATGTAAATTTTGCAACACAAGAAAAATTGTAAAACTAAACTGGCGATTTTGTTTTATTTTAACCAGTTGAAATACTGCTGCTTTAATTACAGTTTGACCAGTGCTGTGTTTTATGTCTCGAGAAGAGAAAATGTTATGTATAATCCAGTAACGTTTTAAGACCAGTAGCTAATTGGAATTAAAAAGTGTTACTAACTAGATTTAAAAGTTTGAAGGTATAATACGCGCTTTATGAACAGACCGTCAAATGAGCTGCACGTAGAGCAGCGTTTACCCGAGGAAGCAAGGGAGACATGACGATAAGAATTTTTCAATTCATTGCATTCCGTTTATTTTAAATCACACTGTATTTGTCGTTGTTCCTGCAACAATATGAGACAGTCTTCAACATTTGATGTTCCAAATATTCTCAGAATTACACCATTTTAAAATTTTTTCTTTTTAAAAATGATTTGATTTAACTTCTGTTCCTAGTATAGTTACTGTATTGTTATGATTTTGAATGTTTGATCTTTCACATACACTTTATACCTTAGTCTGACCTTTTAATATAACGGCAAATTACTGAAGCCTCTATCACCTTTTTATTATTTACTTTAAAAAGGTAAAACTCCGAGGCCTTGTATCTTGGGAATGGACAGAAACATTGAAGTTCTGTAAACGCCACAGTTCGTAGTTTTAAGGGGGAAGCTTAATTTAGTAAAATGCAAATATGACGCACATATATAGAGTCCACGTCACGATCCTGGCTTCTTCTCGAAAATGTTTTCCTTTTAATTTTGAAGAACGTTAATGGTGAACTAGAGGGACTGTTTTATTGCCAACTTGCAGTCCAGATGTAACGCCCCTTAGATTTCTTTTTGTGATGATACATAAATGATTTAGTATATTTGCGACCTCTGCGTGATTTAGAAAGTTAAATGTTTATCCCTTTTTGAGTAATTTAACTAATTAAGAAGTTTCGTGTCCAGCGTGACGGACAGCAGTTCGAATAGATGCTTAAATGACCTCTTTTTGAAACAAATCTTACTAATTGTTAGTAAAATAAAGTCGTAACTAGTGCTTTGTTTCAACTTTAATTTTTTTCATATTCATAACTTTTTTTGTCATCTACTGAAACTGAAATAAACACCCAAGTGTTTTATATCACAGTAATGATGTGTCAAAATCAGTTAAAAAAATATAGGTCATATTTGCAATATACCAAATTAAGCTTCTCTCTTCAAACTAACCAAAATTTGGCTAATCATCTCACCAATAATTTGATGACGTTCCCTCAAATTTTTCTTTAGAAAACGCCATTTAAATTTTATAAAATGACACACTCTTATACTTGTGATTTATGAATCCGCCTTGATTAATGGGTCGCAATTTTTTTATTGAACAAATCAAGAACGATTGACTCTATTTTCTCGAAAATTTGAAAGTTTGCAACTTGACTCCCAAAGAAATTGTCTTTGTTCTGTTGTTCTGGCTAAATAAATTTAGACCAATTTTTTTTGGCAAACCCCAACAGAAATTGAATGAATCCTAGAAAATTTCAGTATACTTAATTAAAATTCGAAATATACTCGTATTTTAGTATCTTCAGTGTGCACAAAGTAATTGGAAGGGATTCCTTTCAATAAATGGACAATTCTCAGATTAGTTGTGTTCAAACTCGGAGCGCAATTACTTAGTGAGTAGTTTCAAGAACCCATGTTCAAAATTGCGTTCAAGATATTTCCAACTCCGATTAGTTCCTAGATGATTCTTAACAATTCCACCAACTTTCAGTGAGTAACTCTTGTGAATTCCACATAATTTCACTTGTTTGCAGTGAGTTTTGTTAACACGAAAACAGTTTTCGAAATTGTAAACAGTGTAATTAGTAT